GCACATAGTATGGAAATATAAAAAGCATTTCATCATATAAAAATGCTTAAATTTAACTATCATGATTTAAAATATTTTTCCCGACTGGTAAAAAAAAATTTACAATATATATTGTACATTTACACTGAAATGTTGTAAGTGTCTTGTACAATATATTGTGCAAACGTCCGCAAAGGTTGCAGCTGAAAAGGCAATTGGGTGGTTTTTGCTGTGGTTTTTGAAGAGCTTGTGCGCTGTTGTTGCATTAAAGGGTAGGTTTTTGATTTCTTTATCTACTGATGGTAGAAAAACCGGGAAGGTTTACTAAACCGAGTCATTTCTATTTTATATTGTAATTGTATCTGAAATTTTTCAAAATTTCTTTATATAATTCTCTTCTCACGGAAAGAATTTAAAATTTATTAATGCAAACCTTAACTAAAGACACTTAAAAAGATATAAAATATGCATTCTAATATATCTGCAGTAAGCTCAATACATACATAAGTTGATTTTCAATGAAATACAAGTTTTATTCCGTCAAACTTAGCTAAATATTGAGTTTTCTTGAGTGCTTTTACTCCTTTGCGAACTTTTGTACAATATTGCACAAATTTGAGGTAGCCCTAATAGCTACCCAAAACAACTTTTGAATATTCTTTTTAATTTAGGTATTATGAGGCTCTATGAATCTTGCAATTAAGAGGAAAAATTTTTATATTCATCGGGGATGTATTTGACCGGAAAGGATTATAAACCCGCAGCGGAGGACTGGAAGACTGCAAAATGCCTGTTCACCTGCTCGACCGTACGATGGGCCATAGATTCGTTTGAACCCTATAAGACCCCTGGGGTGGACGGCCTATGGCCGATTTTACCCCAAAAAGAACTGGATCTGCTTACCCCGATCCTAATCAAGAACATGCTTGAAAGTCTGGCACTGGCCTATCTCCCACAGTAGATCGAGCTCTGGAGAGAAGTAATGTAGCCATCCCGATTCGAAGATGGATCAGTACAATGCTGCAAACATGACTGGCAGAGACCGTAGCTGACAATAATATCATATAGTTGATGACGGTAAAAGGCTGCCCGCAAGGTGGCGTATTGTCTCCTCTGCGATGGAGGAGCATATTGGTAGTCGAACTATTTGAGTTACTATCCAACTAATTATAGCGAGGGGCAGATTTGAAAGTAACCTCCGCTACATTGTAGCAGATCGTGTGGCGCGGTTGGTCTTAACATCAACTCCGCGAAAACAGCCATCATTCCTTTTACCAGGAGAAGAAGCCTTCCAGGCGTGCATTCTATAACATTAGGAGACATGGAGAGAGAAATGTGCAATGAACTAAAGTACCTAGGGCTCATTTTCGACAGCTAAACGTTATGGAATAAGCACATTGAGTACGCTGTAGCAAAAGCCACACGAGCTTTAATGGTTCTCAGAAGACTGGCTGGCAAATCGTGGAGGTGCAGCTCCCACATCCTACGATAGATGTACACAATGATTTTCAGGCTAATAGTTACATATGGGGCAGTGGCATGGTCCGAGCACGCTGCCTCAACACGGTAAGAGCGCCGCTTTTCAGGCTCCAGCGACTGGCGTGTACTTGTATAACAGGTGCCATGCGCACCTGTCCCACAGCAACCCTGGAGATAATCGTGGATCTGTCGCCACTACACATAGTCATAGAACAAACCGCCAAGAAAGCACTCCTCAATTTCATGAGGGAGGGCACTGCAAAAGGCAAGGTGGTTTCGAGCAGGCTGGGAGAGGAATTCAAAAACAATATTCCATTCTTCCAGCTCAATAGAGATGACATGGTTACGATAAGAACCTTTGAGAGAAAGTTTCGAACTGAACTAGGCAGCAAGGCAACCTGGAAAAAGACAATCTTAGATAACACCTTTCGGCCCCACACCCAAAGGTGGTTCATAGATGGCTCCAAAACCGACGAAGGTATAGTGGCAGGAATACATGGCCCCAAATTCAGTATCTCCATTCCTCTGGGGATCTTTCAGGTGGACGTTTTGCCATCGATATTTGTGCGGAAGTAATTATGCAGAGACAACCAAGAAGACAGCACGTTGTCATCTGCAGCGACAGTCGGTATTTTATATTTGGTTGATGAATCAAATCAAAATTAAATTTTACTTTTCATTTGGTCGACAAATCACATGATTTGATGCAACTTTAAATTCCGAAATAAATCTGATTTATGGATTTGTGATTTGACTAATTCAAAATCACGCAACCCTGATTACATACAACTTTTGTCTTCCCGACAATCTGAAATGTGCTACTTTTCCACGCAAGATTCTGAAATGTGCTACTCTTTCCACAAAAATAAAGAAATGTGCTACTTTTCCACACGAGAATCTGAAATGTGCTACTTTTCCACGCAAAAATCTGAAACGTGCTACTCTTCCCCGCAAATAATGAAATGTGCTAGTCTTCCACGCGAGAATCTGAAATGTGCTCCTTTTCGACGCGAATAATGAAATGTGCTAGTCTTCGACGCTAATAGTGAAATGCGCTACTCTTCGTAGGGACCGACGACCATCTTTATTGGCATTGTGAAAATTTTCAACATTTCATCACCATTGAGCGGTAATAGATGGGCAGCATAAGAGTATGTCAGTTTGTAGAGAATCACCCATGTATGGGTGATTAATTTTAACATTCGCATTCGCAATAATCAATGCGGAGCTTTTTCGAATGCGAATATTGTGCAAGTGCACTGATAAAACGTATCTGGCAAACAAAAGTATAAATTGTAGCTAAAATTTTTTGCCTGTGGAGATGCTACGTTTTAAGTCTGTCCCCCTACGCCCCCCTTCTTCTGTAATTTATAGTCAAAGAGTAAGATCCTTCAATACACTGAGCCAGAAGCACAATGGTTTTTTGTACCAAGTTATGGTTCGATTTTTTTATGGTCAATGAGCCAGTTGTAAGAAATGTGATTCACGTTGAACATTTGAGAATAAATTCGTATGTATGGCAGTGGCTGAACGTGGAGAGGTGTTTGCTGTTATTTGTTGGATTCCAGCAGTACGAATGCCGATAGATAATTTTTATTTTTTTTCTGTTTTAGGTTTTTCTAATTTACGAAAAAGCCTCTGTGAAGTGCAGAACCAAATCAAACGACGAAGAAAATTGATTCAAGTTGAGCATTTGAAGACACATAAAGCGGTTGTAGTGTGTAGAGATCCTTGCTGTTATTTGCCAATCCCACCAGAGGCAACATGTTAAAATTATAATAAATTTTTCTTTTTTGTATCTCCGAATTATAAAAAAGCATCTGTGGAGTGCAGAACATACACGTATTCAAACGAATAATCGCCAACCAAGAATTTGGTTAATGTAAACAAAATTGGTGTTAACAACAAATTGGTGTTAATATCAAATTATTGTTGAAAATATCAACCGAGGCATTGTTAATTTTAACCTAAAATCACGTTGATTCTTTTCAAGTTTGAATTTGGTAATATTAACCAATTTTTTACTGATTTTTCTCTCAGTGTAGGTATTTCCAGCGGCAATGTTCAATGTCTAGCTATAAAGAGAACCGACTATTTTCGCGTTAAAAGGTAAACTTTAAGTAGGTAAGAATTATGTAATTATCGAATATTATTTGTCAAAGCTCTGTTGAAAAAACTGGATGCATCGCTAGATTTTTTTTTACATTTTCTTAGATATGTGTAATTATTTATTTTCTCATAAAACTTATAATGATTAAGTTCCGTGTTTCCTTTTATTAGTCATTCAGCTCGAAAACAACAACAATCATTTTAATTTTCTGATAATTATCAAAATAAGCTTGCATCGAAATAAAGATAAAATGATATGTGAATATGTTGACAGCCAAGTTCACAAGTGAAATAAGAATTAATTCAAGGCGAATTTAATATCTATTGAGGAGTGGGACTTGGCATGCAATATATCGTTAGTATAGTATGGAAAGGGCGTAACTCACATCGTCGCTGAAATACATAAAGCCGCAACTAACTATAAATCCAAAATTCAATTCTTGATTGATTATGATGCATTTCATCGAATCATAAGTCCCCACATCGTTTTATGCAATACAAAATTTTAGTTAGTTGTAGCTTTTTTGTATTTCAGCGACAATATGAAATACGCCCTATCCGTACTATATTAGCGATATGTTGAAAACTGGCGTTCATTCGGCTCAAAATATCAAAGCACATTGAGCGCATGGCATGGAACAACACAACAGATTTGATGGCTTTTGGTACCGACAGCGGTAGTAATTAATTGTGACTGCCTGCAACTAGGAAAAGTCGAGCTCAGCTAATAAAAAACTAATTACAAGCTATTTATTACAGGTGAACCTTTCCAAGGAGTCACCCGGGAACTAAGCAGATTTGAGAACTTAATCGTCCGTGATTCCAATAATTCAAATTATTATAAAAAGCGGGGTACATTTTTAACAAAATAACAAGATTTTAAATAAATTCGGCTGGCAGCCACGACTTTCAAAACAGAATTTTCTTCAAAATTTTCGTTCCTTGAAAATAACAATTTATTTTCCATATCCATCAATTTAGAACCTCGCTATAAACAGTGGCGCAGGTATGATTTACGACCCGTTAAGAAACAGGCTGTAACCCGCAAAATTACTCTTTATTAAATACAATGTTCCAATTTTTAAATTCAAGTACTAATTAAAAAAAAAACATTTTTGAAATTTACTAACTTTTCTATTTTTTATCTACATAAATCGCCTAATGTACTCAATTAAATTATTTCTTAAAAATACTTGACATTCGCATTCGTATCCGCATCCGCGGATGTTAGCTTTTAAACATCCGCGGATGTCTAAAACTCCACACTCGGAACATCCCTAGTATGTACTAAAGAAAAGTAAAATAATCGCATTTGTTCCAACGATTTTTGTTAAATTAACTATTTAAACAAAAAACTTATGTATGTATATGCATTTAGTGATACAATTTACTAGTTTTAGTTTATTTCCAATATGTATATGTATGTATGTTTATTCATTTGTTATCTTGAATTTACAGACTCGTAAGAGCAATTCTATTTAAAGTGCTTTATTAACTTAATAATAGTATTTTGTGACCGTAGCACCTGATCGCTCGTTGCGGTAACTTTCCCTCCGAACAGGCTTCAAGTTCTCGGAGGCGGCTCGGTGTATGCGTGGCAGGATTGCATCAATGCTATCGCGTGAAATGCGAGCGGTGGTGGTACCTCCGGCTTCTACGGCATCGAAATGTTGACGGGCCAGATTTAAAATCCTCTCCCTATTTCTATCTCTGGCCGATACGTAAGGCTTAATGGGTTCATGTAATATACGATAGTTTGGCTTGATGGCTTCGCGGTTTATCGGGTCAAGTATTGAGCATTTTCGACGTTCACTATCTGGGCGATGCGATCCAAAAGCAGTAATAGGATCAGCCACTAATGAAGCTCGTGGTACATATGGGCATTTCTCCCAGTCAATTGGTGTTTTGCGCTGTAATGCCCATACAATGAGGTTCGAAAATACAAATTTTGTAAAATATGTACATACTTGTGTAATAAAATTTATGTTAACGAAAAAGTTTTATCATGAAGGGATGCAGGAAAAAGCTGGCGTATAATAAAAACACAACCAAAAATATTTACAAGAGCGTAATCTTACAAATAATAATCAAGCTATAAAAAAGCAAACAATTTAACTAAATTTTGAGTGCATTTCACTAGCACTAAATAAATTTGTATATTGAAAAAAGTACATCGGTTTTGCATTAGTTAGCCATCATCGATTCGCCACTTTTCGGCTTGCTATGTTTGAGTTCAGGTCGCTTCACAAAAAATGTTTTATGTGAAAGCAACAAAAAGTTAGCTAGCAACAATGGACGATAGCGATTTTGGTTTTAACATTAATATCGTTCGTTTCGCATTTCGCCAAGTGTTATATATCGCCAGCTTAGTGAAATTTTCTTCACTACCACTAAACATTTTAGCGATAGTGCTTTCTCGTTTCATTATAACTAAATTTAGTAGTAGAGAATAGGATCGTTGATATTATATCGATATATCGACATTGACGATATTTTTTTCTTCCGATACGATATTATCGGCGCGATTTTTTTTTGGACAATAATATCAGATATCGATACTTTACGCACAAATATCGCCTGGTTACCAGAAAAAATAAGTGTATGCTTTAGCTTACACCATAACCATACTTTTTATATTCAACAATTTTTATGAGCTTGAAGCCGTTTTTAGTGAAAACTTATTGTGGAAAAGCAACAATAATTTTGAAAAAATGGTAGAAGTGATAGCATATATGTAATACTCCTATAATGGCAGTAAGAGCTAGTACCGTCCGAAAACACTACAGTACAGATATATCAATAAACGCGTACGAAAGAAAAGGAACACATACGTTTATAAATAAACATGTACACAACACATATACACAAACGGCACTCAAGTACTCAATACATTGACAAAAAACGGTACTAGACTGTCTCGCTTTGATTTCGAAATGCTTACACATAGAAAAGTTAGCTTACTGCCAATATAGAAGTATTACATATATGGTGATAGCTATTTCGGAAATCACCACATTTCCTCATCAGACTTCTTTCAGTAGGATTCGAACCGACGATCACCACTGACTCAGTCAGTTGCCAACGCACTGTGCTAAGTTTGCCTTGTTAATTCTTGTTGCTTATTTTACTTTGCTAAGCCAACTACAATCAAGCGCAGCTATTCCGCTGCAATTCACTTGATCATGTGGTTGTTGGTTTTTGTTAATATTTCTATTATTAGAATGTTTAACTTTTA